GCCAATCAAGGTAGATTCCAGGCCCTGAGAGACAAGAGCTACAAGTGAGCCAGACTACCCCTGGATTGTTGAATGAAAGATCACTCTTAATCCATCCTGTTTTTCAGATGCTACTTAACCTTGCTGTGGATTTCCAGCATATTTCTTTTTATTTATCTGATTTGATGTGAAACAAATGGTTTTGAGTGTGTGTGATAGAACATGTTTATAATTATAATTAATATTGTGCGATTGTGCAGTGAAACAACTGTGTGGAGCTTCCATGCATTATGTAGCGAAATAACATTCCACTCACAGGACAATAGCGCAGAGTTAAAATGACGGTATTTTTATTATAATAATACATTTGATATCACCTTATCTTATCTTTGAGACATGTCAAAGCACTTCACATGATTTCACTGTGAAGTATAGTGACTGTGTATTTCATAGGCAATGCAGAAACCAATTTGCGGCAGCAATGCTTCACAGTCATGAAGATAAAACAACTGCACATTCAGCACCGGAGCCAGAGCTCACGTATAACGATTTGTCTAAGTCAGGGTTTCATTCCCCAGCAGATCTTGAAGAATGATTACACTCTTCTGCCTCCACACGAAGAAGCACACAGAGTTCTGTACATGTTTGTTTTGTACACATGGAAGACAGAGGGGAGGAATTATGGGGAGAAAAACGTAGTGTGCGATGTGATCATTTTGATTGGTAATAATTATCACATACCTCATAATTCCCTCCGCAAGACTTAACCTTTAATTGTAAAGGAAGACTAACTAAGAACAAAGTAGTGCATACACTGCTACCTTATCTGGAGTAGCAAATGGTAAGGTGACTGAAACCATCATTGCTCATTCCTTGGAGAAAGGTAAGTGGGTCAACGTTTCGGGCCCATGACCCTTTGTCAGAACTTGGGGGATGTTGGGAGGGAGAGGTTTTAAGGACTAACAGAGAGGGGAGGCCGGGCAAAGGAGAAAATAGGGTGGAGGGCAGTTGTTGATGGGTTAAACAACAACAACAAATAACACTTGTATAGCTCCCTTCATGTCAGAAAGACGTCCCAGGATGCTGGACAATCAGGAGTTTTGGACCCGAGATGATGTGCGCCATTAGCACATCATCTGGGTCCCAGACACACCTCTCTCTCTGGTCTGCCTCTGCTGCCCTCCTTTGTTTTGCATCATTAACACCTCTTTAACCCATTATGCACATGTTTACTCAATAAAATACCGGAAACATCGCAAACACAAAAAGCCATACACATACAATAAATATCCAATCAGTCCTACCCCTGTCACCGCGGTGTTCCCTTTCTTTACAGGGAGCAGTTACATGTGTGGGCTAATACCAGCTCTGCCGTCCACTTACTTCAATCCCTGCCGCTCACCCCCTTTATGGGGGGAGACAGGCAGACATACATACATTTTCAGGGTGCTCTTTGGTTACATATCAAACGTCCCTCTGTCCGTTATATGGTCACACACGTGTTTATTCACAGTTTTGTGGGTGCACTTGTGGGCTACCTGGTGAGTGCACCATGATGTCTCCCTCTCCCTTCCTCGCAAGACCGAGGCTCTCCTGATTGGCTCGAGCCAGCGCCTCCGCACCTCGGGCACTGGCAGCATCAGCCTCCACGGCTGCACACTCAACCTCACTAAGCCAGTCAGGAACCTGGGTGTCTTGTTTGACCCTGAACTGTCCTTTCTCGCCCACATCCGCGCCATGACAGGCACTGCCTACCACCACCTCCGCAACATTGCCAGACTCCGCCACTTCCTCACCCCTCAGACTGCCGAACCCCTCATCCATGCACTCGTTACCTCAAGGCTCGATTACTGGAACTCCCTCCTCATCGGCCTTCCCAACTCATCCCTTCGCAAGCTGCAGATCATCCCAAACTCTGCAGCTCGTGTACTCTCACGCAAGATCCTTGTCCTTTAAGGCCATCCATGGCCTTGCCCCCTCCTACCTCTCAGATCTGCTGATACCCTACCAACCTCCCCACTCCCTCCGTTCATTGGGCTCCGGCCTGCGCCCGACCCGCCCTACCATCGGTGGCCGGGCTTTCAGCCTCTCTGCCCCCATACTCTGGAACTCCATCCCACGGTCCCTTCGCCTCACTTCCTCCCTTGTTCCCTTCAAGGTCAGTCTCAAGACCCTTCTCTTCGACCGTGCCTTTGGTCTCCCTCCCACCTCTCTGCCTTCCCTCACCCCTACACATTGTTCACATGCTCTGACACTTACAAAAAAAATGATGTTCTTACAGACAGTAAGTCTCCATGCAAATTAAGCTCCATTCTGACAAGTCAACAACACCCTTACAAATGGAATTAACTGAGACAGTGCAAACAAGTTAACAACATACCTATCAATTAAAATAACTGGGATAATTCCTACCAACTACAGGGTGGAAACAATATACTATGAGAGTCCATTCAGGGATTAAGGGATATGGGGATAAGGCAGGTAGGTGGAGTTAGAATAGATCAGCCATGATCTTATTGAATGGTGGGGCAGGCTCGAGGGGCCGAATGGCCTACTCCTGCTCCTATTTCTTACGTTCTTATGTTCTTATTCAGGCTTGCACACCCTTTGGCCAAGATGTTACCACCATCACAATTTGCCAACATAACCGAATAAAATTGGTCAGTCACATCTTGGCTGTTTGTAGGATATTGCTCTGCACAAATTGGCTGTCATTTTTACATAAAAATACTGTCACTGCATTTGATAGCAATTTTGCTCTGAGAGAGGTTGGTTAGAGCACTCGCCTCTCAAGCATGAGGACCTGGGTTCGATCCCCAGGCAGGGCAAAACATTAGGTATGTTTACTTACTCTGTACGCCTCTGTTTATCTAGCAGTAAGTAGGACCCTGATTATTAGTCAATTGGCGGATCACTTTTCTGGGGGTACTAATCCCTTTCTAAAAAAAATTGTGGTCACTCAATCCACGACTGTTTGTGGGACACTACAGTGCGTAATTGGCTGCCGCGTTTTGCTCACAAAATATACAGTCAATTCACTTTATAGTATATTCTGTGAAGCTCTTTGAGACGTCTCAAAGATATGATAAGGTGCTTTATAATAATAATCTTTGCATTTTATATAGTGCCTTATCACTTTTTCGAGATGCCTCAAAGCGCTTCATAGAATATATTGTAAAGTGAATTACATATCAAATGCAAGGATTATTATTATAGTTATAGACTATGTCAAATGTAATATTATTGTTCAGGCAGATATATTCATCTGAAACATCTGAATACAGTGAATATTGCACATTAATTTAGTAGTTTATTTAAAATTATGTATTTCCCTTCACATTTCTGTAATAAAAAAAATCGCACCAGGCTCTATTAATTGGTCCAACTTATACAAAGCATTGCCGTCCGCAACCTCATCTGTACCAATCACCCCAATCCTCGTCAGACACCATTGGCTCCCTATCTCTGAAAGGTTTGATTCTGAGATACTCACCATCATCTCCCTACCTGTCTCTGTCCTCCCCCTTCACTCACCACACATTGACCTTGCTGGGGGTACCATGGCTGATTGCTCTCACCACCATCAGTGGCCGAGCCTTTAGTCCTAACACCCGGCCTCTATACTTCCAACTCATTCCTCTTTATTCGATCTTTAAGCAGTCTGAGAGGCTACCCCATGTGAAGGGCGTTATATAATGGCAAGTTGATGTTATTTATTCCATCCTTACCTCTTCATCCGCACCTATCTTCACCTCACTCTCCCCCTGTCATTTGCTTGGTATCTAACATCGCTCTTGTGCATCGCTCTGCGACACTATCCTGCATGGAGGGCGTAATATAAAATGCAAATTGTCGTTAAATCTTTTAGAAAAATAATGTAACCAATGCAGTCTAATTGCTATGGCTGAAAGTTAAACATTGAGATGTAATAATCATAACGGTAGCTTTCTCTACGTTGAAGCTTTATTGTCCCCCATTACACAGTCAGGAAACTGTGGCTGGTGTATTTTCATGCATTTTGCTCGGGCACAAAATAGTCATGGCATTTTACAGTACATCCTGTGATATGCTTTGAAGATGTCCTCCCAACAAGAAACCCGCCATATCAAATGCAAAGATTATTAATATTTCTGACACTGGCTTCGGTTCATTGGAAGTTAATCCTGTAGCTCAGTAGCTCACTGTAGCTCAGTGGTTAGAGCACTCGCTTTGAAAGCGAGAGACCCAAGTTCAATTCCAGGCAGGGCGAAACCTTGGGCAAGTTTCCTTACTCCACACGCCTAATAATAATCCCTCCAAAACCAAAAACAATAATAAATTGGTCATTTTCAATCTACGACTGTTTGTGGGACATTGCTGTGCGCAATTGGCTGCCGCGTTCGCCCACAAATATACAGTCAATTCACTTTACAGTGTGTTCTGTGAAGCGCTTTGGGACGTCCTCCCAACGTGAAAAGCGCTATATCAAATGCAAGGATTATTATTATTATTATATAATAATAACAATAATAAGTGGAGTCCTGTAGCTCAGTGGTTAGAGCACTTGCCTTACAAGCGAGACACCTGAGTTCAATTCCAGGCACAGGGCGAAACCTTGGGCAAGTTTCCTTACTCCACACACCTAATAATAATCCCTCCAAAACAAAGCAATAATAAATTGGTCATTTTCAATCCACGACTGTTTGTGGGACACTGCTGTGCCCAGTTGGCTGCCGGGTTTTACCCACAAATATACGGTCAATTCACTTTACAGTCTATTCTGTGAAGCGCTTTGAGTCGTCGAGAAGACGTGAAAAAGCATTCTATCAAATGCAAGGATTATTATTATTTATTATAACAATATGTCCAACATTTGGTAAGAATTGCTTTGCTTTTTTTTTGCTTTAATCACCCCAGTGATCAAACCAATCAGCACTCAGCAGAACTTTATTTGGTCAGTGAATCAGACTCCCTCCCTCTCAGCTGACTTTAGTGAATCATGTGATTTCAGGTTGTCCTCTCTTCCCCAAACAAAAAAAAACCACAGGGAAAGTGCTGTACCTCTGAGAAAGAGGGGAAGGAGAAGGAGACCATGGCGTGGACCAAGTACCAGCTCAGCCTGGCTGCGATGATGCTCATTACAGGATCCATCAACACACTGTCAGCCAAGTGAGTGAGTGAGGGAGGGAGGGAGTGACTGTGTGAGTGAGGCAGTGGATCTGCTCACAGCACCAGAGTCACAGGGAGCTGAGCTCAGGGGGCAGTCTGTGCCATGTGCTGTGAGTGATGTGAGTGAGTGAGTTAGAGAGAGAGAGAGGAGGTTGGAGTTTCTAGAGTAGAGTTTGCAGGCTGGAGATGGCTCTGGTGTGTAAAGCTCAGGCAGCCAGGCTGCAGGGCTGCAGGGCTGTGCTCTCTCTGTGTCTCCTCCTCTCAGCCCTGTTCTCAGTCAAATACAGAACTGTGTGTGTGTAATGGGGGGGAACAAAAGGAACCAGATGGGGATCAGCATTGTCATTCATTTTTTGGCTGTTGGTGGGGACTCTTATAAACAGGTCTGCAATTGGGAGGGAGAGTTAAATACAGGAAAGTTTTGTATTTTTGGGGGGAAACCAAATGAAAGTGAATAGTTGTGTATTGCATTGTGGGGCTGCACATTGCACTGTCCACCACTTGAGTCTCTAAGTGCAGTTACAGCTCAGAAAGACTACAGATCCCACACACTGCACCCCCGCAGCCTGCTGCTGACACAGGAAGCACAACCTCTGAAATTGTACCTTGTCACAGGCTGCGGCAACAACCTAATAATCCATTGTATTTGATACAGCGTCGTTGAGACAGGATTTACTGTAAAGTGTGGTGACTGTGCATTTTGTCGGTGAACACGGAAGCCAATTTGTCAACAGCAAAGGTCCTATACAACAGCGGTTCAGAAAACGGTTCTTTCTGGTACTTGTGGTCAATGAATAGACTTTGGATTTCATCACATCTAATTGTGTCAGTGCTGCTCACGTTCTCTGGAGTTCGATGGCAAATCACAGTCTGTAACATTTGTGTTCGCTGTTCTGTTAGGATCTGTAGTATTCACAACATAGCAACATGGCTCTAAATGTATTCTAGTGCCTTGGAATGCAGGTGAAGGTACAAGATATACCTTCAAGTGAGTGGTATAATGCATGTGGTAACCAGATACCATTTGAAACAAACTAGCGTCTATAATTCTATAGCCACAAAAATATTTTTTGTTTCCCAATATAAAGATGTAACAAACAGATCGTTATTTTCAAAATGCAGTGTAACATGCACCTCACAGTCCGTCTTATATTAAGTCCTACACATAGCCTTTTAATATTATAGCTTTTCCAACTTGGAGGCTGCATAAAGTTTTTCCTTTTGTCTGGATCAAATTCAATAGATGCTGAGTACAGAGCAATGTTGTTGTAAAGATGTGCCTCAAACCCCCAAACTGCTGTGCGCAATTGGCTGCCGCGTTTTGCCCACAAATATACAGTCAATTTATTTTACAGTATATTCTGTGAAGTGCTTTGAGATGTCTACAAGACGTGAAAAGCGCTATATCAAATTCAAGGATTATTATTATATTGGACACAACATTATAATAGGTCTATGAAAAAAATGTTGGACAGTCCCACTTCTGGGTTGTCAGGTCAGCTCTGATGTCACTTCTGTTGCAAAGTGGCACATTTGCGCTTCCTGTGAATAGTGTGAATGTGCAGCGCAAAGGAAGTCACTTCAGAAGTGCCTTGATGACCTGGAATATGACAATTCTCTAGCGTGGGAATTTGGATCATCAGTGCTAGAAGTTGGGGGCTCTGAACTTCTGGTTTAAGAACAGTTCCACAATCACCTACATGATGTTAACTACCTCCCCACCCAGCTGCTGGTAACTCAACTCCCTCGCCTCTCCGCCCTGCTGGCCGACACGGTCAACCAGTCTCTCTCCTCAGGCTCTGTTCCACTCTCCCTGAAAACCGCTCTTATCACACCCCTCCTCAAAAAACCCACCCTCGATCCCTCTAATCTCTCATACGGCAGTCCCATTTCCAACCTACCTTTCCTTGCCAAAATGCTGGAACACATTGTTGCAGATCAACTTCGGTCACACATCTCTCTCCTCGAGCCCCTGCAGTCTGTTTTTTGTCTTGCCCACAGCACAGAGACAGCGCTTGTCAAAATAAGAACATAAGAAGCAGGAGTAGGCCATTCGGCCCCTCAAACCTGCCCCACCACTTAATAAGATCATGGCTGATTTTCTAACCTACTTCCATTTATCCAACCTATCCATATCCCTTTTAGTTTTTAAAAATCTATCGATCGCAGTCTTGAATATGTTCAATGACTGAGCACCCACAGCCTTCTGGGGTTGAGAATTCGATAAATTCACTACCCTCTGCCTGAAGAAATGTTTTCTCAACTCAGTTCTAAAGGGCTGACCTTTAATCCTGAGACTATGACCTCTAGTTTTAGATTCTCCAACCAGGGGAAACAGTCTCAGACTATCTACCCTGTCAAGACCCTAAGAATCTTATAGGTTTCTATAAGATCACCTCTAATTCTTCTATATTCTAGAGAATGTAGGTCTAGCCTACGTAACCTCTCCTCGTAGGTCAACCCTCTCATCATGTGGTGAACCTACGTTGCACCCCCTCTAAGGTGAATATATCCTTTCTTAGATAAGGAGACCAAGACTGCACACAATGTTCCAGGTGCAGTCTCACCAAGGCTCTATATAATTGCAGTAAGACTTCACTATTCTTGTACTCTAATCCCTCTTAACATTTTATTGGCCTTCCTTAACATGTTATTGGCATAAACTCTTAACATGTTATTGTCCTTCCGAATTGCTTGCTGTACCTGCATACTAACTTTCTGTGATTGGTGTACAAGGACACCTAAATCCCTCTGAATACTAACACTGGTCTCTTGCCCCTCTAGAAAAAAGTATGCTTTTCTATTTTTTCTACCACATTATACTCCGTCTGCCACCTTCTTGCCCACTCACTTAACCTGTCTATATCCCTTTGCATCCTCCGTGTGTCCTCCTCACAGCTTACTTTCCCACCTAGCTCTGTATGTCCACAAATTTAGATACATTAAGCTACATTCCTCAACTAAGTCATTGGTGTAGACTAAACAGTTGAGCCCTAAGCACTGATCCTTGCGGCAGTCCACTAGTCACAACCTGCCAATCTGAGACGGACCCGTTTGTCCCTACTCTCTGTTTTCTGCCTGTTAACCACTCTTCGATCCATGCTAATATATTGCCCTTAATTCTATGAGCCCTAATCTTATGTAAACCTTTTATGTGGCACCTTGTCGAATGCCTTCTGAAAATCCAAGTACACGATATCCACTGATTCCCCCCTATCTAACCTGTTAGGTACATCTTCAAAAACTCTGAACGATTTGTTAAACATGATTTCCCTTTTATAAAACTGTGTTGACTCTGTCTAATCATATTGACTTTCTAAATCACAAACAATGTCCCTTTATCTGTGACCAGGGCTCCCTCTGCCTCCTCGTCCTCCTGGATCTCTCTGCCGCGTTCAACGCTGTTGACCACGCCATCTTTCTCCACCTTAGTGGGACCACACTCGCATGGTTCGAGTCCTACCTAACCACCATCTCCACTTAATCTCGGCAAAGGTTTCTCTTCCCGCCCCCGCCCGGTCACCTGTGGGGTACCCCAGGGCTATATCCTTGGCCCTCTTCTTTTCCTCATCTATATGCTCCCTCTTGGTAAAGTCAGTGTCTTCACTCCTGCGCATCTGAACTCCTCAACCTCCCTGGGCTCTCCCTTAGACTCACCAAACCAGTGCACAATCTAAACGTTCAGTTCAACCCCCAGCTGTCCTTCCTTCCCACAACCGGTCCCTGACCAGCACTGTCTTTCACCTACGCCACATTGTCCACCTCCGATCTTACCTTACCCCAAATGCAGCCGAAACCTTTGTGCGTGCGTTTGTCACCTCCCTCCTGGATTACTCAAACACACTCCTCACCGGTCTCCCCAGCTCCACTATTCAAAAGATCCAACTCATTCAGAACTTGACGCCTACATACTGACCCGGACCAGACTCCATATCCCCATCTCACCAATTCTGGCCAGGCTCCACTGGCTCCCCATCACTGAATGGATTGACTTCAAGTTCTTCACACTCGTGTTCAAATGCTTTCATTCCCTGACACCTCCCTACCTCTCTGGCCTTCTGACTCCCCAATCCACCACCCAACACCTCCACTCGACTGGATTGGAGATCACTCTTTCAGCCACTATAATAATAATAATAATCCTTGCATTTGATATAGCGCTTTTCATGTCTTCTAGAAGTCTCAAAGCGCTTCACGGAATATACTGTAAAGTGAATTGACTGTATATTTGTGGGCGAAATGTGGCAGCCAATTGCGCACAGCAGTGTCCCACAAACAGTCGTGGATTGAAGTGACCAACTTTTTTTGAAGGATTATTATCAGGCATGTGGAGTAAGGAAACTTGCATGCCCCAAAACTGTGGAACACTTTCCCTCAATCCCTCCACCTTGCCCCATCTCTCCCCTTTTTCAAGTCCTGTCTAAAAACCTTCCTTATCGACCATGTTTCCGATTATCTCCCCTCCCACTGGCTCAGAGTCAAGCTGTGCCACTGTTTAGCACTCTGAGACGCTACCCTGGTGGAAGGCCCTATATAAATGCAAGTTGTTGTTGTAATGTTGGGCCAGCATCCAACATGGCCTTTAGTCAGTAGCATGAAATGGTAGTGGAGTTCCATCCCCCCTTATGGCTCCCTGATGGCAGGGGTGAGGGAAAAGAAAGGAGGGTACACATACCTCCTGGTAATTTTTTTATTTCTTAAAGGGATTTCCTATAAGATGACTAATCTGAACCAGGGTAGTAGTTGGGGTATCAGAGCTCCCCCAGGTCAAGGAACAGATGCTAAAAGTCCTGTAGCTCAGTGGTTAGAGCACTCGCTTTGCAAGCGAGAGACCTGAGTTCAATTCCAGGCACAGGGCGAAACCTTGGGCAAGTTTCCTTACTCCACACAGAGCCTAATAATAATCCCTCCAAAACCAAAACAATAATAAATTGGTCATTTTTAATCTACGACTGTTTGTGGGACATTGCTGTGCGCAATTGGCTGCCGCGTTCGCCCAC